GCCGTAGGCAGGCAGAGGATACTTCTGTGGGCGGAGCCGTGGGGCGAGGCCGCGAGCCGTGTGGGCGGGGCTTGGCGGGGCATGGGCGGTCTATGGTTGGGTGAGGTATGGGCGTGGCCTTGGGTCTGGGCCGTGGGCGGGGCCATGGACGAGGCCATGAGCAGAGTGTAGGCCAGTCGGGGGCGGAGCTGTGCAAGTGCTATGGATGGGTATCGGCGAGACCTCAGGTAAAGTGTGGGCAAAGCGTGGTCAGGCCATGGGCTGGCAGAGAGAGCAGATCCCCGCGCCCGACAGCAGCACTCACACGATGAACTCGGACAGGTTGCACCACTTCCACACGTCCACCTTGCGCATCATGTCGGCAAAGGCCTCCCCGCACTGGGGCAGTCTTTCCAGCATGCGCGTCTCGTTGCAGCCTCCCGCTCTGGGACACCCGCCTGGAAAGGAGACAGCCGTGAGAATTCCACTGTGGTCCACACTGGGGGTGCCCAGGGGACAGGAGACCCGATGGGCTATCACTCAGTTTGCCAGCGTGAGACCTTTCCGGTGGGGTCCTCTTTCCTCAGCCCTGACCTCCGTGTCAGCTCAGAAAGGCAGCTCCCACACAGGGACTTGTCCCCCAAAGCTGGACGGGTCCACTTCTTCACTGGGACCCAGGGAAGGAGCAGGCAGTGAGACCCTGGACTAAAGTTCTCAGGACGTGAGGAGAGGGTCCCTGGCAAATCAGAGATGGTAAGGATCAAACTCTAGCTCAGGAGTCAAGGGTGCCTGGGACACATCCTGAGAAGGATTCTAAGACCTTGGGACAATTCCAAAGCCTGCGGGGACAGCAGAAGAGGGCTCTGGACTGTGAGGACCACATGCTGGGGCCTCCTTCACCTCCCAAGGCCTACCAGGGCTCATGGGGCACCCAAAATCCTAGACACAAGAACCAGCACCCACCACCTCCCACTCCACTGTCCTCAGACACAGCTAGGGCCTCACAGGAACAAGCCCACTTGATCTTCACAGCTACCTCCTGACACTCACTCTTCCTTCCATAAGAGTGAGATCAGAGAGGCCGCATCACTCACCCAAAATCCCATAGCTTGTCAGTGACAGTCTGGATGACAGCCCAAGATCCTGACATCTGAGCACAGCTCATGGCCCCTGATGGACCCCAGCTCCAACTATGGCATGGATTCTTTAAAAGCCTGTACAAACCTCACTGTATCCCTACAGAGGAGATAAGCCAACAAACTTCCATGTCTGGTCATATGGCAGTTAACTTCTCCAACTCCCTACTGAAAACAACTGAAAGCTTGGATAAAATATAAACAACATATTCATAAAATCTTCAAGGAGCTAATAAGATGGCAAGGAATTGTCAAGCCAAACACTAGATGCAGTGGAAGCCAAGAAGCCATGGCGTGTTTCCTGGAAGGCATCTACCCAGCCTAGAAAACCTGGGTAGATGAAGCCTAAGAGGGGGAGCTTAATGGAAGGTCCCACCATAAACTGACACTCAGCAGTTGGTGAGCCAGAAATAACATTTCACCCCCAGTCACCTAGGAGAGTTGGTACCTGGGCACTGAGCAGGGCAGAAGGGACCACTCTAAGAAGCCATATCCACAGGCTGAACTTCTTGTGGATTTACAGCCCAAATCCACATGCCCAGGTAGACCCAGAGAAACCCCAAGTTGCGTTTCAGTTTAAAGTGGCCATGAACAGGCTCCAGCAGAAGCAAATCCAGACCCTCTCTGGAAAAAGGTACCACCATTGCAGCCCTCAGAAAACAGCCACAAGTTTAACCTCAATAGAAGACCCAACAAAGGGGTGCAGCCATCTGGGATAATGGTATGAGGAGTTCATCCTAAGAGCATGCATCAAATGAAGAATGCTATTCAAGAAAATCTACTACCTCTCAGTAAGAGCAGTGAGAGTCTATGACATTTGAGCCACAACCTGCTTCCACCGAGACTCCCAGTTCCAGTTATGGAGGCTGAACTCCAGGCAAGTGTGACCACAAAGCAGGGTGTGGGATGGTTCTCTCTACCCCAGCTCCCAGTTGTCTAGGGCTACAGTTTCGTCCTGGGACAAGCAGGCATGTCCCATTCCCCTAAGCTCGATGTTGCAGGAGATCTCTTCATTCTGAGCAGGTGAGGCCAGGAAGAGCGAGGCATCCTTCCCCACTCAGTCCTCACTTCTAAGGTGAGGACCCACCCTAGTCATGGTGGACCAAGAATACCGGTACCCTAATGACCCCACTCCATCTCACTGGTAGGGTGGAGGCTCTGCACTGGAAGGAGCAAACCAAGAAGACCAGGAAATACAATTCCCAACACACCAATGTGGGTTTGTGAGGCAGGGGTGTCACTCTGGTAGAAGCAGGCCACTGTCCCCCTCCCAAGTCCAATACAGCATTGAGGTCCTGCCCCGGGGAGAAGGCAGGCTGTAAGGAGAGACGGAGATCTCCACAGCTCTGACAGTAGGGACTGACCATGTCTGGAAGAGAGCAGAAGTTCATGTCTAAGGGTGTTGTCAAAAGCAATGGAATTTGGGGTTTGACCAATTAAAAGCTGGTGGCTCCGTGATGCAAACAGTAGCATGTGAAATGACAGACCAAGCAGGAGTTAAATGGAAGGAACCAGGGAGAGAGCCAAGAAGAGCCCTCCTGACATCACATTCACCCCTGGAGATCATGAGGACTGTGCCCAGGAGGTCTCTTCATTCTGGGCAGGTGAAGCCAGGAAAACTGAGGCATCCTTCCCCACTCAGTCCCCACTTCCAAGGTGGAGGCTCTGCTGAACGCACTCAGGAGCAAGCATAGCACTGGCTGGACTATGAGCCACTCTGCTCCAGGGCAGAATTCTAGAAAACTTTGCTCAAAAATAAAATGACAGTAGGCCAGGTGCAGTGGCTCACACCCATAATCCTAGCAGTTTGGGAGGCCAAAGTGGGAAGATTGCTTGGACCCAGGAGTTTGAGACCAGCCTGGGCAATATAGTGAGCCTAATCACTACAAAAAAAAATTTTTTTAATAGCCAGGCAAGGTGGCACACACCTGTAGTCCCAGCTCCTCAGGAGGTTGAGATAGGAGGATCACTTGAGTTCAAGAGGTCGAGGCTGCATTGAACCAGGATCATACCACTGTACTCCAGTCTGGGTAAAAGTGAAACCCTGTCTCATTCTGGTGGTCAGTAAGACTGAGCATGTATCCAAGGCCATACCCCTCAACAGTTACCAAAGAGGGAACTTCCAAGCTACTAGTCCCTGGCAAAACTTAGAGCAAAATTGTAAACTTCCTGGACTATAAAATCAGTCTTCAGAATACACACAAAGCCAACTATGAAGGGTGAAAACCACATAATGATCTCAACTGATGCAGGAAAAGCACTTGACAAACACTCAAGGCCGGGCATGGTGGCTCAAGTCTGTAATCCCAGCACTTTGGGAGGCTGAGGCAAGAGAATTGCCTGAGCTCAAGATCAGCCTAGGCAATTTGGTGAGACCTCGTCTCTGGAATAAGTCAAAAAATTAGCCGGTTGTGGTAGTGCATGCCTGTAGTTCCAGCTACTTGGAATGCTGAAGTGGAAGGATCGCCTGAGCCTAGCAGGTTGAGGCTGCAGTAGCCATGAGGGTGCCACTGCACTCCAGCCTGGACGATACAGTGAGATTCTGACTTAAAAAAAAAACAAAACAATATATTAGGAATGGAATGGAATTTCCTCAATGTGATAAAGGCCATATATGAAAAACCCAGAGCTAACATACTCAATGATAAAAGACTAAAAGCTTTTCTCCTAAGATCAGGAACAAGACAAGGATGCCTATTTTCACCACTTCTATTCAACATAGTACCAGAGGTTCTAGCCAGAGCAATTAGGCAAGAAAGAAGAAAAAGGCATCCAAATTGGAAAGGAAGAAGTTTTAAAATTATCTCTATTCACAGATGACATGATCTTACACGTAGAAAATATTAAAGAATCAACACACACACACACACACACACACACACATAGTCAGAGCTAATAAATTAATTCAGCAAGATTGCAGGATACAAAATTAACACACAAAAGTAAATTGTATTTCTGGCCAGGAGCAGTGGCTCGTGCCTGTAATCCCAGCACTTTCAGAGGCCAAGGCGGGAAGATTGCTTTAGCCCAGGAGTTCCAGACCAGCCTAGGCAACATAGAGAGAACATGCTTCTGTAAAAAAAAAAAAAAAAAAGATTAGCCAGGTGTGATGGTGCTTGCCTATATAGTCCCAGCTATCTCAGCTATTCAGGAGACTGAGGCAGAAGGATCGCCTGAGCCCAGGAGGTCAAGGTTGCAGTGAACATGCCACTGCATTCCAGCCTGGGCACAAAGTGAGACTCCCAACTCAAAAAATAAAAAAATCGCAACTGGCCCCTTGCAGCAATTGATAAGATGATTCCAAAATGTATATGGAAAAAGCAAGGCACACAAAATAACCAAACAATCTTGAAAAAGAAGAACAAAGTTGTAGGAGTCACACATTGCAACTTTACAACTTACAACAAAGCAGTAATAACCAAAATAGTGTGGTACTAACATAAGGTTAGACATATAGACCAATGAATAAAATCCAGAGTCTAAGAATAAACCCTCATATCTATGATACATTGATTTGATCTAAAGGTACCAACGCAATTCACTAGGGAAAACTCACCAATGTCTTTTCAAAAAATGATGCTGGGACAACTAGATACTAAAAAAACATTGGAGTCTTTTTACATCATACACAAAAATTAGCTTAAAATGGAGCACAGACCTACATGCAGGGTTAAACTACAAAACTCTTAGATGAAAATAAGTCTTTGTGCCCTTTATAGGACAGAGCCTTCTTATATATGACACCAAAAGCACAAGAAATGAAATAAAAATAGATAACTTAGACTGCATCAAATTTTAAAACTTCTGTGCTTCAAAGGATAGCATCAAGAGTGTGAAAAGATAACACACAGAATGAGAGAATATATGCAAATCATATATCTGATAAGAAATTTATATCCAGATTATATAAAGCACTCTTACAACTCCATAATAAGGAGAAAAATAAACCAATTAAAAATGGGCAAAAGGCCAGGCTCAGTGGCTCAGCCTGTCATCCCAGCACTTTGGGAGGCCGAGGTGAGTAGATTGCCTGAGCCCACAGGTTTGAGACTAGACCAGGCAAGTTGGTGAGACCTTGTCTCTACAATAAATAAAAAAATTAATTGGGCATGGTGGCTCGTGTCTATAGTTCCAACTACTTGGAAGGCTGAGGGGGAAGGATCACCGGAGCCCAGCAGGTCGACGCTGGGTGGTCATGAGCGTGCGTGCCACTGCACTCCAACCCGGGCAATGGAATGAGACTTCAACTTGGAAAAAAAAGACTGGGCAAAGGACATGAATAGTCATTTCTACAATAATATATACAAATGGTCAATAAGCACATGAAAAGACAATCCACAATGTTGGCCATCAGGGAAATGTGACTCAAAACCACAGATACCACCACTCACACCCACTAGAATGACTATAATCAAAGACAGCGCAGCATGGTGGTACAGACCTGTCATCTAGCTACTAGGGAGGCCAAAAGGAAAATGCCATTTGAGCCTAGGAGTTCCAGGTTACAGTGAGCTATGATC